TGAGTAGTATTCAATGGTTTACTTGTTTAAGTAACAATACCACAGTATACAAATACTCCAAGTCCTGCATGCAAAATTTCATGTAAGAAAAAGTACAGAAGTATTGGAAGCAGAAGTTTTAAACATACAAAATACATAATAAAAATACTCACAAAGCAGAGTGGCTACTGTCAGTGTTCTAGTCAAATGTGAGAGAATCAATAATATATATTGTTCTTTCATAGAACTGTCTAACTTATCTTTAACATTTTATGTTTCGCATTCTTTGTGGTTCATGTACTTTCTACTGTAGATATGTTTATTTGCCGCTGTTTATTGTTTTTATTTTATTATTTCATTACGTTGATAACTTATTTCCAACTTTTAACGTTTTTTAACGCCTAAACTGCTGCTACTGTAACTAAATCATTTCCCATCTATCTACCTATCTATCTATCTATCTATCTATCTATCTATCTATCTATCTATCTACTTATCTATCTATCTATCTATCTATCTATCTATCTATCTATCTATCTATCTATCTATCTATCTATCTATCTATCTATCTATCTATCTATCTATCTATCTATCTATCTATCTATCTATCTATCTATCTATCTAGAGCTGATTTGAACTACTTCACAGTTTAATCAGTAACAATGATGATATTTTAGATCCTGATCATATTTTCATGTATGTTTTTCTTTATATGTAGTTGGAAGGTATCAATAGCACTACGAACTTCAGTACATGTTCTTTGTTACTTTCCACCAGTGGTAATAATAATTTCTCTTCTCTCCCCAGCTGGCCTCTCAGGCTGTGTCGGTGAGAGAGGCTGGCTGTGATGAAGAGTCGGTGGGGAACAATGGAGAAACACTTGAGTGTTCAAGTAAATGACAGTAACACAGTGAGCTCATTCAGATGTATGCTTTCTAAATTCAATAACAATGTCGACTCTCATGTACAGGAGGTCTCTCAAGAATGATGCGCCAACACAAAGGGTCTGATGTGTCATCAAGAGGCGACGTAAGCAGTTTGTCAGGCAGTCAGTTCTTCTCATCAGTGTCTCTGAGCCCAAGACCTTCCTCTTCCTCCTCCTCCTCCTCCTCCTCATCTTCAGCCTCCAGGTACAGTGATTGGTAGAGAGTTGGTTTAGATTCATATTGACCGTTCTCATATCTGTACAGCACATAACAAGCAGCAGCTAGAGTTAGATTATCTCAGCACAGTGACCTGAAAAAGGGAAACAGCGACCTCTATAGGTCACTCATTTATTGACCTCTTTAAAACGACACAGCTATATCACTTTTAAATTATGAAAACGGCACACACTGTTTTTCCTTTTTTGTATTTTTTGTATTCTTCTTTACTTTAAATGTTCTAAATGTTTACAAAATACACGTCACACTACTTTTTATTTGCTCTTAACTTCTTGCTTCCTCTTACTAGATTAATGCATACACCATTATCACCTAAAGTAAATTCTATGTCTGTGTAAACTTACTTGGCGTGACCTGATTCTTTCCCTGATTTGCATAAACTGCACCCAAAAAAACAACAGTTTACGTGGGTTGTGTGCAGGACTGTTTCCTGGTTAGGAGGGAGGGAGCATTACTTTCAGGCTTCCTAATACCTGCTTCCAGGCAGGAACTTGTCCAGTACTGTAAAATCATGTTTTACTATTCAGTTATGTGCAGATTAACAGGCGAATAATGCAAATCATAGGATTTCCAGCTGCTATGAGGTGGATTTCACTATACTTTGCTGTACACAGCTTCACATTTGCTGTACGGACGTGTCTTAGTCTCACTGAGAAATGCTGAATTGTAGGTGCAAGGTCATGTTTGGCTGAAAAAACTTCAACAATGACAGCCCTTGGTTATAGGCAGGGTTCGAGTTATGTGGGAGCCAATGGGAGCTGAGCTCCCATAAGGAGGGGCCTGAGCTCCCACGGACGCAGTGAAATCATACATATGTGGGCGTCGCTAATTTGACTTGGTGTTGTGGTGCATACTTAAAAGTAAAAGAAAACTCAAATAAACACAGATAGCAAACTATATTTAAGAACACTATAATAACATTACAAAAAAAGACAAAATATAGTAAAATAGATAATAATATAAAGCAGTCATTTACATTGAAATAGAATGCAATAAAATATAAAATATGTGCAGTAAGCAAACCAGATATTGTCAACATTGTGTGCATGTAATGCATAGAGTCTATGATGTTGCTGAGGTGAAGTGGTCTAAGATTTAATACATGTTACATATTTTTAAGTGTATTTCACTGGACTACTAAAAAAAACGTAAAACTAAACCCTCTCTCCCTCCAGTGTGAGGTCATGGAGGTCGTCCAAAGGTCCTCACCGGGTTTTTGTTCCCCATTCCCCCATGGACCTGGAGCTGGGTCACCGGGTCAGGATCATGCTGCCGTCGGGACGGGTCAGCACGGGAACGATCCGTTACCTGGGCCACCTGCAGGGGGAGGCAGAGCTCCATCTGGGGGTGCAGCTGCTGACACCTGATCACGGATTGCATGGTGGCAACCACAAGGGACACAGCTACTTTGAATGGTAACTGATCTCATTTGCCTACTGTGTGAACACAAGCAACACGTTGCATATCAGGGTGTGTGACCTGCCATTCAGTGCTGCTCCGGGATTTATTGGGTTCCCCACTGCGTCACTCGGATATCACATTACAGATTCATATCTTTGCTATTAACTAAAGGCAGGATCGTCTGAAATTAAACTCTTATTGTAGAACATCTGGCTCGTTGAGTTAAGGCATAAGACTACAGCCCTTAGGTATTCAGCTGCCTCCAGACACACTTACTCCAATTCTTTGCACTTAGCGGTAAACTGGTCAACTGCTCAATAACAGCCTTTCGAGGTGAAGCATAAACCTGTCATGTGAAGTGTGAACTCATTTGCCTGTAGCATGACACATTCTTCTCCTAGTTAATGGAAACATGTTTCGTATGTAGTCTTCTCTTCAAAGACCCAGTAGGGAAATACAAAAAACACATGAACTACACATGGGAAATTGAAAACAATATCTTTAAAACTAGGTCTATGTGCCTTTTCTGTACCTTCTTGTCACTAAAACTCATTAAATCATGAATATGAACTTTTAATGTATGACTTCAAGACTGTAATGGAAATATGTCTTCATAGCGATATCTTGATGATTTTTCAGTAGTGTCTGTATTTCATTTATCTCTTAAAAATGTGTTATTTCTCTCCCTTAAAGCAATCCTGGCTATGGCGCCTTTGTACCTTTCCACAAGCTCCTGATGGCCTGGGAGTGACAGAAGTACAGACTCCTGATTTAGAGCCAACTGGATGCATGGCAAGAGGGCCAAGAAAGCAAAAGAGTAGTTACATTAATGCATTCTAAAAATGTATTATAAAGAGATAAATCTTTGTATCAAAGTATTTAAAAAAAAGTGTGTATTGTCTTATGTCTTATTCCCAATAACAATAGCTTGTTGAATACTTCTGTTTTGTGAGCTTTGGTACCGTACACAGTAATGTTGGACTCGCAGAAATAAATGGCTGTTCTTTTGTTGAGTTAGTCGGTGGATTAGTCCTCTCACTAAACAGGCCATACAGTGTCTTAGTCCCACTGAAAAATGAGAGCAAGGACATGTTTGGTTGAAAAACTTCAACGATGACAGCCCTTGGTCATAGGTCACACAAACAGGTTGTGCCCTGTGCACAAAATCTGCTTCATGCCCTAAGCCAGGGGTGTCAAACTCAAATACACAGTGGGCCAAAATTAAAAAATCGGTACTAGTCGAGGGCCGGAATGTTTATTGCAAAACTTATTGAAATGAACTTAAACCTGGAACTAACAAAGCTTAAATGATTGCCTATAAAAACAACATTAAACATTAATAATTAATAAAGTTACATTAATTTCATTAATTTCTTATGGCTCTATCTGCAGAGTCATTTCTTATGATTACATTTTTCCACAGGCCAACAACAGCTTCAAAAAAACAATTTCCCACAAAGAAAAAAACAAACATGCCCTGTTGTCTCAAGAAAAAAAGTGCAGAAGGAAACATCCATTGAAACTCAGTGTTCTGCTCTGTGATGCTAGCTCAAGCAGATACTTGGCATCTCATCTTGGGTGCAAGTTCATCAATGTTTGGGGTCAGGCTCTGAGCGGAGGAAATCCTCAGGATTGAGTGAAGGTGTGCGTGCAAAATACCGGCGGGCCAGATCTAATAGTAATTATCCTGCGGGCCGAAATTAAATCCACCAAGGGCCTGATTTGGCCCCCGGGCCTTGAGTTTGACGCATGTGCCCTAAGCCAAACACTTAAACATGCTCACAATGTTAACATGTTTGTGTTTAGTAGGGATTTTTTACCACAATTGTGTTATTTTAGCCTGAAAACATGATCAAATGTGCTGATTACCAAACACAGAAATATCACTGAAGTACAGTAGGGACTGATGGGAACGTCATTAGTGTTTCAGGTATTTGGTTGAAAACCAATGCTGTCAGGAGATTAGAGTTACTATCCCTCTTCTGGGGACCATGAATGTGTTCACCCAAATTCCAAGTAATCCATCCTGACAGTGTTTCTAGAGGTAAACTGAAGTCTGTGCGAAATGTAATCAAAATCAATCATATAGTTGTCAAGCTTACTGTGTAAATCAACAGGAACTCAAGAGCAGCCACAAACTGTGTTAATTCGATAAGTATTTAATATAAGTGAACATAGAAACACACAAGCAGTCTGACCTCCCCCCCCCCTCAGGCCGTTTTTTTATTCAGCTTGCAACATCAGTGAACATTACTCAGTTTGTAAAACTCCAGACTTTTAAGAAAAATGATTGAAGTAAGAGACCTACTTGTGAAATTGAGTAAGGGAGTTTGGTGAAAGATCTTAGGCAATGTGGTATGATGTAAGCGAAAGTATTTGCCAATATTAAGTTCCTGTTAAACTTTAGAAACTTATTCACAGAGGCATTAGCCAAGATAAAAAAAGTACGACACTCCATTTCATACATGACATGTTTTTATTTTTAATATGTTTTTTTTAAGACAAGCTAACTGTAAATTGATCCAACAGAACATATTTACACAACACTTGTTCCGGGAGTGTTTCATGAAACTGATGCAGATTTACGGGAAAGGTTGATGACACACAGGGAAATGACTTTCGCCTTCACTCTATAAAAGTCTTCACAGTTTCCTTGTTCCTTATCATTTATTATAAATAACATTTTGGATCGGGGATACAGCTTCAACCAGCCTAATGTGGCTAAAGCTTAAAAAATACAACATACTTATTTCTCAGGTATAATATAGAAAAACCCAATTTTCTGGAGAACTAGAGTGAAATAAAAAATACAAAAATAAAACTTTAAACAGCCATTTCTTATTGCATGAGAACTTTTTTTGGAAATAGATTAAAATATATAACATTTGACACAATATGCATCAACAGTCAAAACTCTAGAAGCACTAGGCTTAACTTTTTTTGGTAAAGTGACACATTTCATCCAAATGATTGGATCACAAGGTCACATTTGACTATAATGTCATACACATACATTGAACAGATGTCTTAACTGTTCATAAATAGGAAGGCACATTTGCACTTCTGCATTGGCAACTTAGTTAAACATATTCAAATGCTTAATCACGATCATGATCATTCATCCCAGATCAAATGCACGCTAAAGGGACATTGAAAATGTTTTCTCTCAGTGATTGTGCTGTTATGTATTGTGTCTCGATATGTGTCTATGTTGATGTTACACATGTAGCTGCTGTGATGCAAGTCAAATTTCCGACTTGATCTGACCATTAAAGTATTATCGTATCCATCGACACAATTAAGCTTTTCAAGAAAATCCTTGTTTGCTTTGACAGAGTCAACACAAATGTTATGGTAGTTCTGACTTAAAAGAAAGCAAAGGTAGAAAATCATCAGAGGATTATCAGAAAATCCCTCTCTGAGCCTTCAGGTTGAGGATTTCTGCAGCCAGTTTCTCCGCATTCGTCACATGAGGATACATTTCCATGACGGTATCCACCTGACTGGGGTTGAAGATGGCTTGCAGTTTCTTGCGGAGATCCATCCTTTTTTGTGGGTCAAACGCATCGGGGGATCCATGCGTTGGGCCCCAGGAGTGGTACTGCTGGCCTTTGTAAGAGCCGCTGTTGGAGTGTGAGGAGTGGGCCGAAGAGGGGAGACTACACGGTGTCCTGGCTTGGGGCAACCCCTGAAATGGATCCGACCAGTAACTTTGCTGATGATGCTGGGCTCCACCGTAATGCTGATGGCTATTTTGGGGAGGCACACTAGGCGGGAACATTTGAGGAGGGTAGCTGTCATATTGGGAATGACCCTTGCAGTCTGGGTTTCCATGAGGTTGCTGGTAAACTGTTGAGGGGCCTACATGGGAACAGCACCTGCAAGACTGGCTGCTGTTGTTGTTCTCTAAATGCACTGGGGCCTGTCTGGGTCCGGCGTGGGCACTTTGCTGCTGGAGCCTGGGTCTGTTGGGGTTACTGAGGCAATGCGAATAGTCAGAGTACTGACTGTCATAAGAGCCAAGGCCAGAATCAAGGTACTCGTGAGAGACGTTGGCATAGTATTGACTGGGCATGGAGTGCATCCCAGGCCAATCTGTGTGACACTGGTTTACAGGACAGGGCATTTGATTAGGACTTTTTCTCTGATCCTCCCAGTACAGCAGTGTATTTTCACAAACCTGACTGGGATGTGAAGGACTTTGCCTGTCTCTTGTGTGCTCTTTGGTAGAGTCTAAAGGATAGGAAAAGGCATTATGAGCAGGATCGGACTGGTGCTGCCTGGGTGATAATCTGGCATTTCTTTCTTCTTTTACAGTAGAAATCTGGGCTTTTTCTCTCAGTTCATCCGCCAAGGACAGGTAAGACTGGTTCGACCGCTCTGGATGGTAGAATTTACATTTGATGCCGTAAGTGCACTTTTTGTCTGAGGAAAACAACAGACACACAAAAATAAGTTAAAGGTCATGTAATTTAGGATACAGTTTACTTCCTTGTCCAAATCTTAAAATAGCGGAGCTCGGTGCTTATCAAATCTTACCATAAGGACAGAGCTGTCTCTTCTGCTCTGTAGGCAGAGGATTTCTCCGAAGGAAGTTGTCAAGACTGGGGCCATGGCGACCCAGAGGGTCATCTGGGGGCATGAACCTGGGGGGAAAAAAATGATAAATTGCTGATTTCTTTCTTTATTTGAGACAAATCAGCTGGGTGCTGCACGATTATCTGTTGCTTACTTGTCATTCACAAAGGAGAACATGAGAAGCCTCTCCTCGATGCATTTCTTCCACTCAGGTCTTTCTCCTTGGAGGTCACGGTAGGTGTCATTGGATACGATCACTCCATCCGACTCATATGCCACCTTGACGATAAAGCGGTCATCATAGCAAACCACCCGCTTACCACCAACACGGCGCGATGGAGTGAAGACCAATATTTTCCTTTTTTCAAGCTCCATCAAAAAGTGTTGATCTGAAAGTGCAAACAATCACTGTTGAAATGGCTGTGGAGAGTAGCAGGTACATGTTCTCCCCTATTTGTTGAATGGCACATACAGTAAAGAGAATAGCTTTGTTATGTAACATGACACACTTTGCCATGTTCCAAAACTACACGTACAAGATACATAAACCACTGAGCATTTTACAAAGCCACAACAATCAAATATAGGAAACAAACGTCAAAACAAAGTATCACCTGTACAAACATAACTATCTAATATGTACATTATATCATTTTACTCTACCTGTAATATGACTAGGTACAACATATGAGTAAAAACACAATACGTAAGTGCCTTTTAGGTAATTCAAAAGTTAAATGAACCATAAAATCTAAATGAATGAACAAGAGGCCACGTCTCATGAAAGCTGGATGTTTTGTATGCCTGAACAACTACTTTTCAGACAATAAAGCCACTTTTCTAACTGAGTGTCTCTCAGGTAGACTGTCTTCACCTAAGCTCTTTAAGTACACTAGGTGTGGAAAAAACACAGCTGTACTTCCTGTTGGGGTTTTTCCAGGAATAATTGCAGGCTGAATTTTACTTCCTTGTTCACAGATTGAAAATAGAACCTTTGGATTGCTCCACCCAGGCTCACACTTACTAACTCGTGAGAGCCACAGGGTTTTTTGTAAGGATGTTCCACCCTTTATTATTGTGGTTTGAGATGGGGTAGTGTAGATATGATATGGATCTGCTTTGTAAAGATACACCCAAAAAGGTCAGTGATTCAGCTCTCTGAAATGTAGAGCTGTTCACTGTGTTCCTCTGCAAGAGATTATCACACAGATGAACCAACAAAGAAACTATTGCTTCAAAGAATTATCAGCATATGGAAACATCAGTTGGCAGCCAATTGGGTTAACCTGTTGCCCAATATTTAATTTGTTGCCCAATGGCTTTAGCACGAGTTCAGTGTTTTAACATTGAACATTGAAACATTGGCTTGTTGATAATTTGGTATTGCTTCACAGATAAAGCAAAATGCATACCTACAGCTCCAGTTTCATGGGGAGATTTAAAGTGTACCTATCATGCTATTTTTAGGCAATAGCATAGGTCTCAGATATATAAAATAAATAAATAAAAAACATGTCTATGAAGTGTTTTGCTCAAAATACCAAACAGATCACCCATTCTAGCCATGCCTCATATCCCTCTATTTCACTTCCTGTTTTAAAAGTGCTGATTTGAGGTATAAAGCTTTAAAAAAAGGAAATTTTATTTAAAAAAAGGAGGGTCTGAGCTCATGCGGGAGATTCTACCGGCAAATACTGCGGTGATGAAACGCCATGTCATGGATTATCAAGGATTATTTCTGAAACAGGGCTCAAAGGCTTTCTCTCTTGCCGGTTATACCACAAGGTGAGTTCCTTTTTATTTCCTGCTTCTTCACACACATGCTCTCCAGTACAGGTTAGCTCTGAGTGTTAGCGATGCTAATGTAAACATGCACCGACCATATTACGTCCAAAACAGTCGGGCATTGTTTCTGATAGCAACGTTTCTGATTGGGCTGTGGGTGTAAAGCCAGCCTACATTTCCGATATTGCGTCATATCGGACGTACATCTGGATCAGCTCCGTTGTAGCCCCGTTTTTAGAGATTTGGGTACGGAGGAAAAGAGAGAGGGTTTTATTTTCTGACGCTGCGTGAGTTCCCTGACACACCGGGGACACATAATTAATATGTATAAAAGACATCAAAAAGTGCATTTAGCATGATAGGTCCCCTTTAAATGTCACATTTATACATCACACAGACAATGCAAAAGAACGACTCGTTTCTGAATAGTTAAAGGAAGGGATAAACATTTTGGAAAATCACAACAACACTAAACCTGACTCATTACATCTTGTTTGTTTAATCTAACCAAACACAGTGTAAAAAAACAATTCATTTACATGAGGATTATGTGTTGAATTATTTCTTTTGTGGAGACTAAGTCCCTTGTAAAATATCCCATTTATATATTCACACCTTAATCTTAACAGTTTTCTCCTGTTTGGCATCTCCGTGCTCACCTAAGCTAACCAGCGTTTAGCAGCTCTTACATCGGATCATCATTGAAATTGCGGTTTCTCTAGACTACCTTTTTATTGGCAGTGAGTCAATAAGAGTTACAAAATGCAAACAAAATATTTTGTCTGTGTTAGGTAAATTTGATATAAGCATAACCACAATTTCTAACTGCAAGCTATGCACTCTGGCATACAGCCCAGATTGTGTATTCCTCACTGAACAGACTTTAATTATTTATTTATTGGTTTACTATCTCCAATAGATGTTCAGAACATGTATGAACAAATCATTTTGAACACATTTTGAAACGACTGTATTGATCAACGTTGTCAGTGAGCAAATCTGTAGCTTTTAGCAAAAGAGCTACTAAGCCGAAGAAAATCTTTCGTACACATTAAATTAATAGACTGTTGCTCTATTGAGCTATAAAGCTAGTTTTGTACTGAACCAAATAACAGCATGGAAAAGAAACAATCTGAAATTCAGATAAGCCGCAAAAATGTTGGGCTTTGGTAATTAGAGATGCGTTTTGTTTACTTTTGTATACACTCAAGTGCATTTGAATGGTAATCAGGCCACTTAGATAAAAAAAACAGTGACTACATCTTTGAACTCAAGTGAGTCGACTGAGCGAAGTGATTTGGGATGTGCCCCTCTACTCTCTCCTGTATGCTAAGATTACAAAGTCCAGTCCTGTGGCCTAACCTCACCTAGTTAGCCTAGTTGACCTGCTGGCCCCTAATGTTTATGACTTCAAGGTTCAAGCAATTCAAATGAAAAAAGATCATCCTCTACTTGGTCATGGCTTAATCAATGTGATTGTTTCTGCTTTGACTGGGAAGGGTTTGTTGGCTACATCAACATCAGTAGTATCTGTCTGCTTGGTTGTACACTTATAGGATCCTCACCTGTTATCGGGGCATCAGGTCTGGGCTGCTCTTTGCGCCAAGTTGGGACAAACACGGTAATGGTATTATGACCTCTGTCCAAGAAGAAGTTTACTGCGAGCTGGATGCCTCGACATGAGAACACTTCCTTGTTGCCATGACTGTAAAAGAAAGAAGTCGGGTTGGATGAGCTCAAATCATTTGAATATAAATAAATTGAAAGAGAGAAGTACAAATTCCATTGATCTGTGTAAACAACACACGCCTTCAAATGTTCTTTCAGAGGAAACCTTCCCTCTGGGATATCATGAAGGGAACTTCCTTTACAACAACGTATTGGAGGGTGGAGATTTATAGGTGTGTCCCTAGAATTTGCATATTGCAGCAGTGTCTTTGAAAAAAAGACATGCACAGGCAAGGTGGTAAACGCCCATTTTAAAGTGACACAACAAAGTATGTTTCAGGGTCAGGGTTGAATGACAACAAGGCAATGATTGATTCTACTAAATTCCACAAACAATTGACAGGCCGAGGGTTAACGAAACTTGCTTTATTCGTCATATTTATGTTGTAGTTTGTAAATTAGGATTTAAATCATAATAATTAATCCAATAAAAGAAGAAAAAAGCTTTAGATTACCTCATAGCAACGTTGCTGCCGTCAATAACAATAGGTCTCAATCCCGCATCTGAATGATTCCACTCCACTGGTTTCTGTGTGATTCGGGAGGGTCCAACAGCCCAACTGGGGGGCAGCAGAGGGTCTTTTTGGCTCCTGTCCTCGCTGTCGGAGCCGCAAGGTGCCGTGCCGGTCCTGCTCCGAACCAGCTCCCCCAGCACCGAGTTAGTGTCTGTGTTCAGGTCGAGCTTCTTCAGAGCAACCATAACCTCTGCTGAGGAGTACCCCAGCTTCCTGAAGAAGTCCACTCTGAGACTCAGCTCCTCGCTGTCGGCCTCCAGCAGGTTGGACGCTGGGCTCTGGCTGGGAAGTGCCTGATCCATCCTGGAGCATTTGGGCCTCTTTTCATCAGCATAGAAGACGTGGTGGATACTCATGGACTGACTGGAGGAAAATTACATTTAATTAGGGTTAAATGTTTATTTGACTGAATCCAGTTTTGTATCATGTTATACACCCCCCCTCCAAATTATGCGAGGTCCATTAATCATCATTTTGATTTGAATGTTCTTAGTATTATATTAAAGTACATTTTGTATTTTGTTTGTGAGTGTTTGGCAACACAAGACATTTCACCACCATTCTGCTCAAGGATACAGATTTTTTTTTTATAGACAAAACTATTATTGATTGATCAAGAACATAATAGGCTGATTAACGTAATATAAAACTAATGTCACTTAATACTTGAAATTACTTATTTTTGTAAAATGAAGTATTTTCATAAATAATTTAATGTAAAGGTCTACCAATCATTTCCATCACTTCTTCATACTCTTGTCATAATAATCATTTGGCTTTTATGTTATTATGTGGGTGTACGAATATACTTAATCTCCACATAATAACAATGAATTGTATGTCTATGTCTTTAAAAGTGTATTTTGCCACATTTGAGAATGAGAGATTAAAATAACATGCAAATAGCTCACATCACCTACCAAACAGTTCCAGGTATATGAGGGCCGTGCTTAGACTTTACTGTAAAACTTGCTTCCCCCTCATGTTAAAAAGTGACATCTGAACAACAGGAAACTCTACGCCGCTTCACCGTATCCTTTCTCGGCTATGATACTTTTAAACGACAAATACACACCCTACAAGGAGGATTACCTGACTCAGGTACGTTTTCCAACGGGATATTTCCGCTGCTAACCGGCAGGCATTCTGGGTAACATCTCATACCGTGAACAAAAGTTAAACCGAAAACTCACCTTGACTGCTCGTGTCTGTCTCCTCGTGTCCTGTATGTCCGCAGAAGTCTCTCAGTCAGTCAGAAATCCCTCACAAGTCCCATTAATGTTTGGATGTACAGTAACTTTGACACGGTTCAGACTTTTTAGCGCCTCCCTCTTAGAGAATAATTTCTTCCCCTTTCCTCCTGCTGACGGAGGCATGCTGAGCCTTGAAATATTTGCATATCAGAGATAAGATAAGGTGTTGCTTTTCCTTTGGCTGTCAGTCAGTAACGCAGTAGTACACCGGTTATTTCCTTTCACTCCGTGTGTGTGTGTGTGCGTGCGTGCGTGTGTGAGTGTGTAGTTTTAGTATGTCTTTGTTGTTGCTGTTGACCCTTCAGGCGAAATACGGAATAAAACAAAATACAAATGAAAGCAAGGAATCTGATTGAAGTATTATAGATGTAGCAACCACAATTAAAATCACATCAGACCAAATTAAAAATATAAAAAACTAATTTATTTCATTTAAATATCATTAAAAAAAGATTAAACAATATGTATAATATACTGAGGTTATATTTGGGATGTATGATGTTCACTAGTTTATAATACATTTTGATTAAAAAAAGATTAAACAATATGTATAATATACTGAGGTTATATTTGGGATGTATGATGTTCACTAGTTTATAATACATTTTGATTGACCTCTTGTATGAATTAAACTTTGTGATGATGGGAAGATTGATTCATGTGAGGAACCATTAGTTTGGGGCATATTATAAAATGGTTGGTGGTGTTGGAGTTAAGCTCAAAGTTTGTTACTGGAACAAAACTTCTCTCGTTTTTTTTAGAGTAACCTTACACCTATATTAAATATATGTGAATCCCCTCTTCTACTTTTCATATTGCGAAAGAAAAAACATATATACGACGCCCCCTTGTGGATTCAGGGTATAGTGACAAAATCCATCCAACGTATTTTTTATTTTTTAGTATTCTGATTTTTGTTAATGTGAAAAAGCCATATTATATTATTTTAAATTGATACAAATATTAATTGTAAATTATACTCTTAGAAAGATTAATTGAGAAATATATGAAAAATGCAATTGCAAAAATCACAATTTAGTCATACACCTTTCTTTAAAATGAAAATGGTGACATAATTATAATATTGTATGTATCTGGTTTTTTATGTGGCAGGTGTGGAAATCTTACTTAATATGTAAGTGAGTATTTTGAGGTAGGCCTACATATAATGCTAATTAAAAAACTTTTGGCAGAAATTGTATTGTAAACAGTTGGAAAAAACAACCCACTTCTCAACAGCACATGATTAAAGTACTGTTTGTTTGAGGTGTTTCGTAATTGTAGAGGAAGTGTCAGACATGATGAAGCAGAGTCAGAGAGAGCGAGGGACTTTATCCTGATGTGAACTTCCTCCTTTAACTTTAAGTGATGTGTTTACACAGTCATAGTTTCTATGTATTAACTCATGATACTAATTATTCTCCAATTTTCTTTGTGAACTGCATTTCATTAAACCAGTAGTTTAGCCATTTTCGTGTATGTCATTCTTGAAACTATAAAAAAAGGCCATAAAAGGATAGTACATAATGATTTGTATACTACTGTTTCTTGCTTTTCTATTAACCATTTTGATCGCTATTAATAAACGTTTCCGACTGTCCATACACTGTAAAAAGGTAGGCTGTACGTTTAACACTCTTTTGGTTGTAAATACTAAATAAATCAGATGTTTCATAACTCAAACAGGCAAACAAATGTTCAACTTATATAATTGTTATGTGGGGTATCTTATATTTTTTGGTTTATGTATGACCTATGGAAACAAACGTGAATTTTTCTGAATAATGATTCGTATTATTAGCTGCCATGTGACTTGTTTATATTTTATTTTGTTATAATTTCACATCACTTCTACATTGTAGCCTTAGTTAACCAAACAGGATTTCTCCCTATCTTTTCTGTAGTTCAGCTTGTTGTTGGCTTTCAAAGCAGCATCCCAAACACTGATCATACATTAATGAATGTATGCTCATTAAGTAATGGCTTAACAAACAGCACTATCAAACTGATAAACCATAGCTCACCTTTAGACACACGTAACAAGCATGGAACATGGAACATGGTTGGGTTAGTGGAAAAGCAAAGAGAAAAATGTTTCCTCTTCGATGTTATAAAAACACTGATTCAGGGCAGATTAAGTTCACCTGTGGCTCCACCCAGAGCTTATCAGGATCATGGCAAACACACAATAATGCATTGTTAATAATAACAATCCATTCAGATGACACATAGGAATACAATTCTCTGAATAGGGTAACTCCATCCATTGTTGACGACAGTTTTATTTAACAAAGCACTACCAGTATTAAACCCAAATGAGTCATATTATATGTATTAATAGGTCAAACATTGGGTAAGGCTATTTTGCGATGTAACTGAACCCACACACACGCCACTAAATAAACTGTACATGTCTTTGTCTTTAAATTACTGCCTCACACTCAAATATAAATTACTCCCATAAATACGTTTTACAATATTGAAAACATTTATGACTTTGCCATCCTAAATATAACTTTTACAAATACAGAATGGAGCCAGTGGGACCACATGTAAGAGGAAATACAGTAAATCTGACCAAATCCTAAAGGTTAATACCAACACATTGTCTCCCAAACTGGGTAATGCAAAACCATACTGTAGCCTCCATACTGAAATCATATTGAAACACCTCCATATTTTAAATTTGAGGGCATCTTCCTAGCCTTTTTAACCCTGTTTATATCTGTAATAATAACACACTGCAACAACCCTTTACACTAATGCCTGATTGTTCTATAAGTTGGCCACTAGATGTCACCCACGCTTCATGTGAACACAGTCCACACTCAATGCAGAGTTAATGGAAGACGTTGGTCTGCAAATGGTTGTGGTCTCAGTAGGCCTCTTAACTTACGTAGTAGTACATACTATATTACGTAAGTTAGTACGTGTGTGTGTGTGTGTGTGTGTGTGTGTGTGTGTGTGTGTGTGTGTGTGTGTGTGTGTGTGTGTGTGTGCGCGCGCGCACGTTTGTAAACAACCCTTTGTGTACAGGGTTGATGGCATGGTCGAGTTGGGATCACACGGCGTGCAGCTGGTTAATGGCATATACAGAGTTGAGTTCCGGAGAGTGGAGAAAGTAATCAGGGCCGGTTGCCAGGCGGTTGCCTCCTCTGAGGGCCACACCACCGGCCCCAGGTGTCTGCAAGGCCTGATATTACTGCAGGGCAATGAGCTGCAACCAGTCACGATGAGTTGGGGTGAATACACACGCTCACACACGCTCACACACATGAAACCACACATACATTCAAGCTCAGACTAAAACACAGAAAGATACAGAGAGCAAACGTCAAGTCTCAACTTTGTACTGGTGAGATTTCAAGTGCATTTAATCCGATCTACAAAAGCTCCAGCTAGCATTGTGTATTGTTTTATAATTGTGTGGTAAGATTATATTGGAAGCCATCATTGGCATCCAAAAAGCTTTTGTTCAGTAATGCAAATGTCAACCCTTGCTGAGAATCCAGGTGCTCAAGATCGGACGAGATTAGTCCAGATTGGGTATTGTGAACATCAAACGCTTATTTCCTTAACATCTTGGGTGGAGGCATTGCCCCTCTCAAAGGCATATCTTTTTCCTCCAGGCAGGTGTAGTTTGGCAAGGCTTGTTAAACCCGAGACAGTTGATCAAATATTCAGCCAGGCTCATTGTGCTGCTGAGAGCTTTTGGATGTCTCTGGGACAGTGCAGTGCTGATAAAAACCAGCTTTGTAGTGCCTCAGTGCCAGCCTCCCTTTTGCTTTCCCTTTTTCGATGACTGCCCGGGCCAGCTAAATTAATTTTTGTATGATTTCCTTAAAAATAACCAAAGTAAAGAAAAGGCAGCCTTTAACTGGAGTAATCCATCTTACGCCAATGGTGTCAAAGTGATTCACGATTTCCAATTTAGCCGTGTTTGAATCTAAAGTAAATCAGACAGGACGGGTCCACCCTTTGTTCAGCCGGACGACAAACCCTCAGTGACAAGAGCTTTCAAACTAACATATCCCCCACATTCATCTTGTTCATTTATTACTTTAGACACCCTCTGCTTGTCCTACATAGATCAGCAAGCAAGGACCCCCCTGGTATTGTGTGGGGTTTCAGAGAAGGCATTAAAGCTGCGTGGCTGAAGCACTGATTGATCGGACAAGATCAGACAAAAGAGCAGTGGAATGGATAGGGCCCGGGTTTTTAACCCTATGTTTAATTACATTTGCTTTGATTAGTGACAACTGAATTCTCTGAGCAGGATGTGATGACAAATGAGTGAATACTGCAGTTTGCTGATCATAGACATCCACCCGCTGTGATATACTGTTGAAGCGTTTTCATTAATCCTCACATCACATACACCGACTGGTTTCTCTAAATGTGAGTGGATTATATACCTTCTTACTGGCCATCAATCAATTACAATTTTTTATTTCTTGTGCCTCTTTAAGATATTATTTTTACTGACCATATGTCGAGTCATTGCCACACTGCGAAACATACAGACTTAATAGAAAGGTAACTTAATAAGATTGGTGCTACAATCAATATATATATTTTACAATGGAACTACATTGCCACCACTCCCAACCCCAAAACAAAAAGGGTCAACCTGCAAAGAGTAGTTACATATAAAGCTATTGCCCAGGAGGCATACACTTAAACAAAAATACAATCAAGCTTTGGACAAAACAGATCCATTTCTTCATATAGAGATTTTGAATCAGAAGAAATATAATCTAAAACCTTTTGTACCTGAAGTGTCATGTGTATGTCCATTTCAAAATGAAAGTGCTGGGCATGTTGTGATGCAGATCCGTTTGATGTACCCTCAGAGCAAGAACAGGAACACAGGAATGGCTTTCATGATTGCTGACTTTAACGATCTTTGGAGTAGAAAGACTATCATAGAGCAAGGAATTTGAATAAGCATGTACAGAGGGGCTAGTTTGAAGTGTTTTTCAATATGGCATGATTTTGATTTATTAAATTATGGCCCCATTTGGA